CCCCGTCCCAGCCCCTCTCCCGCAGGTGTTCATCAGCAAGGACCTGGCCCAGCATTTCGGGTACCGCTCGGCTCCCGAGGCGCTGCAGGGGCTGCGTGGCCGCGTGCAGCCGGGGGAGGGTGGTTGTGGGAGGGGTGCGGGTCAGGGGGGGCACGACCACACCCTGCACCCACCACCACCACCACCCCCCCCAGGGCCACGCTGATCTGTGCCTGGGCTGAAGAGGGGGCTGACGCCGTGGGGCCCGACGGGGAGCTGGTACACTCGGACGCCTTCCCCCCGGAGACCCTTGTGGACACGCTGGGGGCCGGGGACACCTTCAATGCTGCCGTCATCTTTGCACTCTCGGCAGGTGGGCATGGCCCGGCATGGCCATGGCATAGCTTGGCATGGCCCGGCTCATCCAGGCAGGGCTGACACCTCCATTCCCCAGGGAGGAGCCTGCAGGATGCCCTCACCTTCGGCTGCCAGATCGCAGGCAGGAAATGTGGAATCCAGGGCTTCGACGGCATTGTCTGAGCTGGGCACCCTGTGCCAGGAGACCCCCCACACTCCCCTGGAGCATGCTACCCTCCCCCCACACCCAGCACCCCCCTACCCCGCTGCCAATAAAGCACCAGGGCTGCCTCCTGTGCCTCCCAGGCTGTGCCTGGCCCCTCTCTGCACTGACCAGGGCCCAGGCAAGCAGTGGCAGCAGTGCCTGTATTTCGCCGTCCCCGCCGGGTTACACGGGCAACCGCACAATCCCGGCCCCACCGTCCTCCCCAGCCCCACTACAGGCTGTGGGGGGTCCGTAGGGACCCCCCCATGACCATGTGCCCTGAGCAGGGCAGGGAGCAGCTGGGGCACTGCACCCCACAGAGCCATGGTGGGGCTGGCACAGCCCTGCCCATAGTGCCCCACTGCCTACCCCTCCCCAGGGTCCCCCCAAACTGGGGCTGCCTCCCCCTCGAGGGCTTCAATCTCGGGGGCTTCCTCCACCTCCATGCCTTCAGCATTGGGGGCTTCATCCTGGGTGGCTGCCTGCCCCCCTGCCAGGCCATGACCTGGGCCACTCACCCCTGCGTCCCCCCTAGGTATCTCCGTGTCCACCCCAGGCACAGCTATAGCTCCTGCCAGCAGCTCCCCGAGTTGCTGCTGGAGGGGCTGCCCTGGGGGTCTGCTCCGGCTGGGCAAAAGCAGCAGCTCGGGGGGGTCAAGCAGCCCATCCCTGCTCAGGTCTTGCCTCTCCAGGGCTCAGTCCACCAGCATGGCCACCTGCAGGGACAGGGTGGGGAATGGGGTGAGGGCCCGGCCCAGGGGCTCTGTGGGGTGCGAGGGCTCATCCCCATGGGACCTACCACATCGGGGTCTGGCCACCCCCCATCCCGCTGCGCCAGCACCGTGCCCAACAGCTGCAGCAGCTCCAGCCCGTCCAGGCATCCGCTCCGGTCGTGGTCGTGCAGCACAAAGAGGTAGAGCAGGGCTGTGGGGCACGGGGTGCCGTGGGACTGGGGCCGTGTCCCTGCCACTGCTGGCCCCCCGGCTCCCCACAGCCTTACCCTGCTCCCGTGTCATGGCCTCCATGTCCTGCTCCGGCGGCCCCAGGTTCCTCACTGCGCTCCGCAGCAGCCTGGGGGTGGTGGGGCTGGGGGTGGGCATGAACCCCCCCCTGCCCCACAGCCTGCCCCAGGACTACTCTGCCCTATAGCTGTCCGCAGGACCACCCTGCCCCACAGCCAGCTGGGCACTGCTTGTGCCCCACACCCACCCATCACCTCCCCCCATGTGCAGACCCCAGGCCAGGGGTGCACGGTCCAGTGGTGTGGGGCTCCCTGAGGGTCAAGGACTCACGGCAGTGTGGGCAGCTCCGGGCTCAGTGGGTCAGTCGTGGCCAGTGGGGCCTCAGGCCTGGCCAGGAGAGGGAGAGGTTACCTGTGCCCCTGGTTGGGGTGCAGCGAGGAGGGGCTGCCTGCCCCAGCCTGGCCTGATGTCCCCACAGTGTCCCACACAGCATCCCCTCCACCCATGGCCCCTGCAGCCCTGTGTGCAACCCTGTGCCCATCAGCCCAGTCCTTGACTGTGCACCCCTCTGTGCCCACCCACCGCTGTGTGCCCCAGCCATGCTTGTGCACCTCACCTGCACCCATGCACCCCGTCTGTGCCTCTGTATCCCCCCTTATGCCTGGGTGCTCATCTGCACCTGCACACCCAAACCACACCTGCGCCCTCCCTCCGTGCCCATGCACCCCCCC